GGGTAGCCTTCTTCTGTCACAATATTCTATATAATAATTACGAAGAAGGCTACCCTAAATATCACCTACTAAGAATCGATTTATCTGCGATTTGCTCACTAAGTTCAGGTGAAGGCTTCTGCCATTTTTATATAATATAATTCTGCAGAAACCTTCATGTCACATCCGACTACATACTAGTGATAGGGTAGGTAAGTGCTAATATTTATATAATAGATTTCGCACTTACCTACACTTTCAGATGTATATTTGGATATCTTCCTTTTGCGATTTGTTGACCAAGATTAGATGAAGTCTTCTCCCATTTTTATATAATATAATTACGGAGTTTACTTCATGCCACATCCAAGTATATACTAGTGATAGGGTAGTCTTCTACCAATATTTTTGCGCACTTACCTACCCCCCTTTGGGGATGTCATATCATACCCGAGTACATACTAGTGATAGGGTAGTCTTCTGCCATTATTTATATAATAGATTACGCAGAAGACTACCCTAAATGCTACCTATTAAGAACATGTTTATCTGCGTGTCTCTACCCATCCTGCTACATGCTTCTTTTGCGTTCACTGAAAAAAATAAATTAAACATTTCAGAATTATATTGGAGTATATAAAGTTTTGCCTACTGACACCATGCATACCTCAACTATTTACCAAACTGATCACACTAGATCTGGCCCAACGCTCGCCCGCTACGACGGCGCCGAGTCCTTAACTAGTAGCCCATCACGTAATGATATTGTGGCAGAATTCGATAATGATATGACCACTATACTTCAACAAAGCCTCTCTAGCAAGCAACCCATACATTTCATGCCTACCGAAGTTAGTGATGATACCAAATATATAAAAGGTGTCTCCTCTTATATTTTGCGCATTGCTGGTACTTTAATTAATGGACAAAAAGCAGTCGTAAATATTACAGGCATTAAACCTTTCTTTGATGTCGTAGTACCTGAAGAGATGCCACTATCTATGTTTAAGACCAAATTAGTGAAAATATTATCTAATACCCTCGGAGGTATATCAAAATTCGGGATTGAGCATATTAGCGCTTTTCCACTTCGAGGATATCATACAGAAAAGAAACCATATATCCGTATTAGCACTTGGAACCATTTTGATCGGTATAATGCATTAAAAGCAGTCCGCGCTGTTAGTATACATACAGCTTCAGATGATCTAAATTGCCAGTATTATTACCGCAAAGTAGCCCGTGAAAAAAGATTACCTCTTTCAAGTTGGGCAACGTTAAGTAATTATTTCTACGAATATATTCAAGGGGGTACTTATCTCTTACAAATTTCTGTGGATAATTATAATCCAACGAGTGAGGATGATTATAATAATCCATTATTATCCTCAGCACTTTCACGAGATCGCACTCTTGTTCTCACATGGGATATCGAAACATATAGCTCACGAAAAACAGGTGAGGTGCCTAATGCAAAATACGAAGAAGATATTGTATTCATGATTTGTATGACAGTTCATTGGAAAGACGATCCTGAACCGTTAAAGCAAATCTGTCTTGTTGACGTTGAAATTGCACCGGACCCACAGTTGATTACGATTATATGCGGGTCTCAAGTTAATTTATTAAAAGCATTCGCCTTATGCTGGAAACTTTTAGCCCCAGATATACATATAGGCTTTAA